CTTGTCCCATCCTCACAGATAATACAACTGGTAGAGCCCAGAGGCGCCTCACAAGGCCCAAAAAGTAACACTTGAGGAGCCTTGACTGACTTTAACAAAAAAGGAAAAAGATTAATTTTGACTGAAAAAATCTTCTTTTGACTTGATCTTAAACATCCAGGAAAAAAGTATAACTAAAAACAGTAAATATTGTTAACAAAAATATAAAAACAGTGGGTGCTACACAGAACTAAAAAAGGGATTCTAAACACCACATCAACTGACACATGATTACTTAAGAAAAGACACCAAAACACAAAACACCATGAGAGGTCCAGATTTCTAGTCTCTCTACCTCTTCCAATGTTTTCTTCGGCCTTTCTTAGGATACGGTCTATAGGTTATTTTTTTTTTTTTTTTTTTTTTATAATTCTAATTTTTATTTATTAGAGAGAGAGAGAGAGAGAGAGAGAGAGTGGTGTGTGTGTGTGTGGCCAGCTCAGCCCACCAGGGGGCGGGGCTGGCTGGCATGTGGTGCTGGGGGATTGAACCGCGGTCCCTGATGCCTTGCCAAGCTTGTTCTAAGTAGGTGCTTTAGACCACTGAGCCATCTCTCCAGCCCTCTATAGGTTATTTTGACGTTCATTCAAGTATCTCTTGGGTAAAGATCTGGCTTCGTAGAACTGGCCTGATAGCTCAGTGTACTAAAGCACCTATTTAGAAAGAGCACAGCAGCCTGGTTCAATCCAAGGTGTGCTGTGCCAGCCCTATCCCCAGGGCACACTGAGATGGTGATTGAGACTGGGCATGGTGGCACACACCTGTAATCCCAGCACTTGGGAGGCTGAATCACTAGAAGTCTGATCTATGTAGTGAGACCCTGTAGGCCCTGTATCCCCTGTACTAAATATATTTTAAAAAAGGAAAAAAAGAAAAAAGATTTGGTTTCACGTACAGGTCTGCTAGGATAAAAATGCCAAAATAAATTTTCTAGTATCTGAACAATTATTACTTCCTATTATCTACTCCACACTTTGTAGTTTTTGTTAGCCAGAGCCAATCACAAAAAACATCTTTGAGTATACAAACTAGGGGCCAGCTCCCAGATTCTGAGCCCTATAGTAAGTATTTTAATGGCCCAATGGTCACACAAGCACCTGAATCCCTTTCACTCAATTTATTCCTTCATTACTGCAATAAAAATAGGAAGACACTTTTATTGACAAGACAGGATAAACAACTTAGGACAAACAAGAGGTTAATATAAAAGGCTCATCCCAAAAGCTGCCTATTTCTGTCTGCCTTCTGAAACTTTGGGGGGCCACTACTCACCATAATTCATCTTTAATTTTTGCTCCTGCTTGTTTAACACACCTATGAAGTCTTCATCTTCAGAATTCTACAGTGCCAAGTCAAGCTGATGCTATTGGAATTACACTGTGGCTTTTGTTAATTCAATACATATTCATACAGTTTTTACTACTGGTTAAGAACATATGCAGTGAAATCTCTAAATTTACCAAGCCTCGTTCCAAATCTTGATTCTATCATTCTCTAGCTGAGAAATTCAACGAAGTTATTTCTCAAAGCTTTGGTTTCCTTATCTTTAAAATATGGACAATTGGGGCTGGTGAGATGGCTCAGTGGTCTAAAGCACCTACTTAGAACAAGCTTGAGCAAAGCAAAGCACAGGGACCGCGGTTCAATCCCCCAGCACCACATGCCAGCCAGCCCCGCCCCCTGGTGGGCTGAGCTGGCCACGCATGCACGCACACACACACACACACACATAAATAAATAAATAAAAAATTTATTAAAAAAATAAATAAATAAAATAAATAAAATAAAATAAAATATGGACAATCATATCTGTGTGGTTTAAGGTAATGTGATACAAAGCCCTCAAGATAGCTTCTGGTACACATAAAACTGAAAATCCAACCAGCATTTGAGTGTTTATGTATGAACAGAAATGGAAAAAAAAAGTTTTTTTCTCTGAGAAAAAAAATCCCTGTTTTACAATACTGTTTTAGCAAGGTATATAGATATACAAAAGATACATAGTTAACATCTGAGCTCAAATAGTAAGGTAATGCCAGCTTGACAAAGGACAAAAGAATGTCAAAAAAAAAAAAAAAAAAAAGGATAACAAAAGCAAAAGAGCTAAGTGTTTATTTACCAAGGTAGCTAATAAGTTAGAATAGATGTAAGAAAAATAAGCATATATGAGGAAAGTAGCAAAACACAAAAGTAGATAGGTCAGTTGAAACTAGTAGCCACAATATAATTCCAATCATATTTATTGAAGCTTACTCTAAAGAAAACACTGTGTGCTAAGGTCTAGAAAAGACAGACACATAACCCTTCCCTTAAGATACTTCATTTAAAAAAAAACCTTCATTAAGCTGTCAGAGTGAATAGTATATCACAGGTGTATGATCAATCAGCAAATGTCTCTCATAAATGTAATCAAATGACAAACATATTAAAGTAGGAAGGCTTACAAGCAAATAATACCTGGAATACGGACACCTAAAACCCTATACTCTCTACATGAATACACATGCACACAAATATGTCACAAAGCACACATCTGAGTAATTTCTACATAAGAAAATGAGTGGGCCTGAGGAGACAGCTCAGTAGAATAAGCACTTCCCTGGCAAGCCTGGGTCCTGAGTTCAATCCCCGATACCGCAAAGAAAGAAAGAAAGAAAGAAAGAAAGAAAGAAAGAAAGAAAGAAAGAAAGAAAGAAAGACAGACAGACAGACAGACAGACAGACAGACAGACAGAAAGAAAATGAGCTAAAACATGCTAAGATAAAACGAAGATAAGTTGTATTACTTATTGTATAACATAAATTATCTAGTTAACTAATATGATGCTATATTAATTGGCTTCATAAAGATTCCAGAGCTTGGACAAGGAAGGTACAAGGTGATCCTGAACATCTTTTAGTACCAAAAAAAGAAGGAAGTGTCAAATAAATAAAAGAATGGAGGGGCCAGGAAGATAGGTCAGTAGAATAAGTGCTTCCCTGGCAAGCACAAGGGTCTGAGTTCAATCACCGGTTCTGCCAAAAAAAATTAATCGAAAAAAAAAAGAAAGAAAAGAAAATTGTTTGGCTGGGGAGATGGCTCAGTGGAATAAGCGCTTCCCTGGCAAGCGCAAGGGCCTGAGTTCAATCCCCAGTTCCGAAAAAAAAAAAAAAAGAAAAAGAAAAAAAATTAATAGTAACAATAAATAAATAAATAAAAGAATGGAAATGACCAGTACTAGTTCACATTGGCCAAAGTTACAACAGTTTGAAAGACAGGGACAGCACAAAGATGAAATAAATATCCCAAGTACACACTACTAAAAATAAATGAACAAAGAGAACAATTCTTACTGAAGAGTATTAATATAGAAAGGATGGGGAAAAAAAAATCACTGGAATACTAAAATAGGCAGAAGTTGAAGAAGATATAGGATATTTGCAAACACTCAAAGAAAGTATCTCCAAACTTTATTTACAAAGTGACACATTTTAACATTACAGGGAAGAAACCTGGGAAACATCACTAACCAAAGAACCATCATTAGCACTGCCAATAATACAAACTGACATTATGTAGCATCTGACTTGCAGAGGATATATTATCCTCCTCCAAATGCAGTCCCTCCAACTAAACACAAGACACTATCAGACAAATCCACACCCCAAAGGCCACTGAGAAACCTTCACATACTGGAGGAGTCTGAGACCTCCAAGTAAATGCTGTGTGGATTCTGGAACTGATCCTGGAACATAAAAGAACACTATTGGCAAAGTTAATGAAAATTCAACAAAGGCTATGATTTACTCAGTAGTTAATATTACTGTTTGAGGGAGATGGATATGATAAAAATGTTATACATATACATTAAAAAACCACAACGAAACCAAGTATTTTGTAAAATATATATTCAATGGTACCTCCACCTACCAATACTTTTGTTTGCAATTTGGTTTGCAAACATAAGCACTGGCAAAATTTTGTTTGTAAACTGCATTGGGTGACAAACATGATCCTGGCCATTTTTCCCACACAAACATGGGCCATCTTTTCCAAAATCATAAAACTAAGTTCATAAACCACAGCACCACTGTACTAATAAAATATATATGGAAAGGGAAAAAATAGTAACATCTAATCGATATTACACCAATATTAATTTCTTGGTTTTTAAAATTTTTTTATGGTTATACAAAATCTTAATATGTGCCAGCCTCACCCCTGGGGTGCACTGAGATGGCTACTGAGACGGCATGGTGGCCTGCACTTGTAATCCTAGCACTTGGGAGGCTGAAAACAGGGAGATCACTACAAGTCTGATCTGTGTAGTGAGACCCTGTAGACCCTGTACGAAATATATATATTTTTTAAAAAATCTTAACATTAAGAGGAAGCTGATGAAATTTCATTAGCTTTGCCAATAGTGTTCTTTTATGTTCCAGGATGAGTTCCAGAATCCACACAGCATTTACTTGGAGTGTCTCCTTAGACTCCTCCAGTCTGTGAAGGTTTCTCAGTGGCCTTTGGGAGTGGATTTGTCTGATAGGTTTTAGTGATTAGTAGAAGGACTCTACAAAGATGTTCAGGAGAATGTGTACTCGTTCTATAACTGCTGTAAGTCTAAAATTCACTCAAAATAAAGGTTTTTTTTAAAAGGATATGAACGTAGAAACAGTATGATCTACAATACCATATTTTTTTTTAACCTTGAATAGCTAGCAACCTATCTGCACTATAGGTATTGTAAGCTACTGCAGACAACATTCTCACTTTTTTTATGGTTTGCTGTTAGTTCAATAATATAACAGTTTACCAAATGTTACCTAATTTTAAAAATTCCCTTCCGACATCCTAAAAATAAAGAGCAATCAGAATTACATCTTCAATTATATGAGCTTCTTCAAAGCTTTACTCTGAACAGCACTCAATACTATTATCATTGTTTACTGCACAAAAAAAGTAATTTAAATAAAATTCTTACCTTCCAACCACTGCCAGCCTCTCTATAATATGGGAAGTTATCACAAATCCACTGGTAAATCTCACTTAAAGTCATTTTCTTTTTGGGTGAGCTATTAATAGCAAACGTAATGAGGCTGGCATAACTATATGGAGGCTTCCCATCTTTGTGCTGTTGAACTTCTTCCTGGTCCAGAGTTGTATTTGGGTCAAGGAGTGCATTCTTCTTAGAAATTCCTGTTCCATGTGCATTCTGTGCTGCATCAGACTTTTGAATGGCTGCTCTCATGGTGAGCTGTGGTAACCAGTCCATGGAAGTTAGGCTGCTCTCCAGTTCAGATGTCATCCTGAAGGTAAATAGACTCCTTAGTATCAAGGAAAGAACCCTGCTTCCCAAAATAATCCAATATGCACAAATCTAGGTGTTCCAAAGTGAGGGAAAGTCTGAGTTAAATCTGGAGGAAAAAGATTGAATATGTTAATGACCAAATCAAATATTTAAAGGATCAACATTTCCAATCTATTTTCTTAATTTTGTTTCTCTTCAAAACATAATGTACATAGTTTGAGAGTGTTTATAATACACATGCACAAAGTGGTGCTGGTGGCAATCTTCGTATAAAAGACTGCCTGCCACTTTAATAAAGCCAACTAGATCTTGGTACAAAAAACTCCATTTGCATCCCAGCTCCTTACTGACCAAACCACCACACGCCCTTAAGAACTCAAGGCTACCCATCTGTACCTCAATTTCTTTTACAAAATTTTAGAGAAGTCACACAAAAAATATCAAAAGTAAAATGGAGGCAAAAAGTCAAGAGAGGTGATTGAGAAATGGAATTTGCATGGAGCAAGGGTGATACTAAGTAAGTGGGAGGTAGGAAGAACAAAGCACAGAAAAGAGCAGCAAAAAGACAACCTAGCTGGGGGAGTTAAGTGAAAAGAGTAATGCAAAGTCAAGGACACTGGTGAACACGTGAAAGGAGGATAGGTAGTACCAGACAGTAATTTAAAGAATAAAAGGCAAAAAAAAAAAAAAAAGTTATAAAAACTAACTAAAGATCTGGGGGTGCTGGAGAGAGAGCTCAGTAGAGTAAGTGCTTGCCAAGCAAGCACAAGGTCCTGAGTTCAACCCCCAGTACCACCAAAAAAAAAAAAGATCTGGGAGTACATGTGAGATTAAATCATATAAATAGTCATGACCAAAAAAGCATTACAAGCTCAAGAACAGTCTGGGCAAATATCCAGTAATCTAGATTCACTAATATATTTATTTTCAAGGCTAAAATATTCAAACCCTTACCATTCAAAGAAAAGAATACAAAAATATGCCAGGTTAACATATTTTAGAACAGAAAAGAAGCTATTTTAAGAACTGAAGATGAGGGCTGGGGAGAGCTCAGCGATCTAAGCACCTGCCTGGCCAACTGCAAGAACCCATGTTTGATCCCAGGTACCACGTGCCATGCCACGCGGGCCATGGAAACTGGGCATGGTAGCGCATACCTATAATCCCAGCACAGGGGAGGCTGAGACAGGAAGATCACTACGAGTTGCAGCTGCGTAGCAAGAATCTATACCAAATAAATAAATAAAAGGTTTTTTTAATTAAAAAAACCTGAAGATGAGAATATAGAAAGGAAGCTTGACAGTTCATATTGGAATTGTTAAATTTCAGCAGAGATGTAAGCCTCTCTATCCTGTAGTCAAAGAAGCAGGAATAACAACCATGGCAATACAGCAGAGAAGAATGAAAAGATTTGTGAATGCTATCAAAATAAAGGGGAAATGAAAATAAAATATCTCAGTCAAAAGAAAGCACTTGGGGCGGCTGAGCATGCAGCTCAGTCAGAGGGCTTACCAAGTACATGCAAGTCTCTGAGTTCAGTCCCCTGGAATGTACCTCCACCCAAAATTGTGGCTAAGAAAATTATATATAGGCCCCTCATCCCAAATGGCTCCCAGCAAAAAGCATTCTACAATACTCTAAGTATATAAACTTCTAGGATGCAATATAAAATTAATAAAGAAGACAGACTTTGGAATCAGCGAGATCAGAATTCAGTACAGACTCTAGCAGTTAGTAGCTGTAGGACTGTGAAAATATCCACTATCTCTTAACTCCAACTTTTTCATCTGTAAAATGAAATAGTAATACCATCTATGGTTAAAATACCACTATGAAAATTAAATGTGTTGACATATGCACAGAGAAAAGTGTTAATAATACTGGTCCAGGAGTATCTTGGGAGGAAAACAAATTACTATAAGGTAACTAGATTAAGCAACAGCAATTATAAATGAAGAGACAGCTATGAGAATTCTATGTACATTGCCAGTAAACAGAGTTCTATTATTATCTTCCTTGTCTAATATTCTAATTCAGTTTTGCCTTTCTAATCACAAATTCTCTCTTTCTCTGGTATACACATTTCTTTGAACCTTCAACTTCTAAAATTCCCCAAGTAGCACCTTCAGAAATTAAAAATAAAACAAAAAACCTACCATCATACAATAATAGCCAAAAATGACTGATCCAATCATGAAAGTTATAAAGACTTGAGAATAAAGAGACAGGATATTTAGAGATCATACAAAAACAAATGAGTAGGAAAGTATCCAGAGATTACAAATTATCTCTTCAATTTAAAGATGAAATATTAAGGTACACTCAAGTTAAAGGCACACCCAATTTCACAGACTACCCAACAGATCTTAATCAGAGAGATTCCAATCCCTTCTACCTTACCTCATCTGTACAATGAGGAAGATAATTAAAATAGCACCTACAAGACATATAAAGAAAGCACTCAGAACGTTTCCAGACAATATTTAACAACTGTTAGGTACTGGTGTGGTGGTGATAATACTAACTCTGCTATTATTCACATTTCATTCACAATGTGTACTGGATTTGTTTGTTTTGATCTGTCTTTCTGAGACAGGGTTTCACTGTGCAGCTCAGGCTGGCCTTGAACTCATTTGTAACCCAGGCTGGCCTCAAATTCAGAATGATCTTCCTGCCTCAACCTCCAAGTGCTAAGATTACAGGCATGTCCCACCATACCCAGCTATCAGTGGCTATTATTACACCACGTTGTCATCATACTTGTCTCAATTCGATCTCCGCTACAACTGTATGTTGTTCAAATTAGTAAAGCACCCAGTTAAATGTTTAAAAACTTAATATAGGACCATGTTCCAAACTGGAATATAATTCTCATTGCAAATACCCTCCTCTGAAAACCACCTTTAACTTCTTCTGTTGCCTTCTACCAGTGTAAGCAATGAAGCTTTATGAGCATCTCAGTAAAATACAATTTTTAAATGTCATATAATACATTTAACATTAATTCATAATTGTATATGTACAGAACTATGTCAGAGGAAAGTATAGTCCAATCAGGAACTGCAAATACAAGAAAAACAATGAATCAAAAAACAAGACTGAGTGCTGTAAAGTTCAGAAAAGGGAAACAACTTGGACTGCCATCTTGAAAAGAGAAAAGAACAAACTTCAACAAAGCCTTAGTAAGTTAAGACCTAAATGGTCTAGAAAGAAAAGGGTCCCTAGTCTTCACAGACATCTACGTAAAAATTATGCTACTGTGCTCACATTCATCTGTTCTGCTAGAGCAAATTGTAAATTTACTATAAAATGTGTGAAACTAAAAACACGAAACTTTGTTTTGTATGAAAATAATTGAATTTTACATACTCTTGGTTGTGAGGTCAAAAGTGTCTCCAAAGTTGGTACTTATCCTGGTGGCTAAGTAACTTCCCATCAAGCAAAACACAAAGGATGGCCATTAGATTGGCCAGATCACCAGTAACTTTAGAAGGAAACCTATTAATGGAATGGTGATGACAGAAACCCACTTGTAGAAGAGAACAGATGGTGGTAAATTTATAAAGAGTGTGGAAAAACTCCAAGGAATCCAGTTAGGGAAATCTGGTTAAGAAATCAGGTACTCATTACTTCTCCTCATTCTACAAACTTGGTGTGGTATTAGGTAGCATTACAAGTAGCAGGGTATGGTCTCTACCCTCTGTAGGGAAGGGGCAACTGAGAAAGATGAAACTGGGCCTGGGATACAATCATGTATATGAAGCAGCATGTAAAGTGCCACATTGAGTTAAGAGAAGGATTAACAAGAGATTAATATAAACTAAAGTAGTTTTAAATGAGTTTACATTTAGTAAAATAGGAGAAAGGAAGATACAGAGAATGTTTGAGTATAATGACATAAAAGCAGTGTTCCCTGGTTCCACCAAAAAAAAAAAAAAAAAAAAAAAAAGTAAGCAGCATCAAGATACAACAACTAAAAACCAAGTCACTTAGTCAAAACTAACAATAAAACACTATCACTGATAGGATTTCACATATGCTTTTAAACTTCTATACCCTCTGTAACTCAATTCTCAAGGCTTACTCAGAAAAGCATCCAATTTCCAACAATATCAAAAAATGTAAGGAAATGGTAAAGATATTTTTCTCCTTAAATGGAGTAATAGGAAAACACCAGAGAAATTCAAGAAATAAGAATAAAGTAATGATATGGATAATGAGCTTGTGACCCAAATATTACTGAATCCTCTCACTCCATTCCTGGCACCTGGCATTTCACCTTAAGATTTGGCAGCATATGAAAACAGCCATTTGGAACTCAGAAGAAATCCCTGTAATTACCTCCAAAGTGATTTTTATGTACTTCTGATCACATGAATCTCTGGGGTCAGTCAATATGTACTGCCACTCCTATTACAGTACAGTGTGTCAGCACCCAACGCAACTAGAAGCCAAAGTTATGGCACCAAATACTTGTTCTTACCTTCTTCCTTGGGACTACAGCCTGATTTTATTCAGGATGGCACTGTGCCTTTTGTTTTTCTTTCTCTCTGGAATATGTAAGAGCTACTGTTCTACCATTTACCTCCTATCAACAGTTAATCTTGAGAAAACAAGCCAAACACTGAGGATATGAATGTGAAAAGAAAAAATCTAGAACTCTGATTTTTTTTTTTTTTTTTTGTATGTGAAAAGTATGTGAAGCTGTCATCCCCAGCTTGGATTGCTTACCTTCAAGATTTTTAATGTATTTACTATAAAAGAGTCTCCATCAGCAAATAAATGCAATTCCTAGCACATACAGAATTTAGCATGGGGTGGTGAAGTGATACAACAAAACCTAAAACAATACATTCTCCTAAAGAGTTAGAAGTTAATTAATGAATTGATATTGTAGGTTGGAAAACTGGTGACAAGGATCATCACTTGTGCAATTTGGAAGGCAAACCATACAAGATTACAAAGAAAAGAGAAATACAGGAAAAACTTAGAATGTAT